CTAGCCATAGATATTTGGGCATACAGCTGGATAACAAACTGTTGTTAAAAACTCATATTAATAATATAATTGGCAAGCTTAGAACGAGAACTAAAGAGTTAAAGTGGATAATTGGAGCTAGAAGTAAGCTGCCACTAAAACTTAAAATATTACTATATAAGCTGCTTATTGCGCCGATTTGGCAATATGCTCTTCCTATATGGGGCGCGCTGATATGCGAGACCAGATTTAATAAGCTGCAAGTAGCACAAAATAAAATACTTAGAGAAATAACAGGTGCACCGTGGTATGTCAGTAATAACACACTTCATATAGATCTGCAAGTAGACACTGTTGAAAGCATCTATAATAAACTGTGTTATAAATATGTGAGCCGGCTTCTTGCTCATCCCAATCCTGAGGCAAGACGAATTGGTAACTACCCGTGCATTCCGCAACGGCTGAAGTGGAAGCGTTACTCCGTGATGCTCAACAATCACTTGCAATCAAACATATTTAAGCGGAAATGGGAACTATTACAGGCCAAGCAGAGACGGGCACATGGTTGCATATATGTTGCTACTATCCCTTCTAAAAATGCAGTTTCTACTTTTAATCATCCTGTTAACTTAAATCGGAACTTCAACTCATATCAGAATATCAGTTTTAGGCGGGACGATAGTTTCAGGCAAGATACTGGCTCCAGTCAAAATAATGGTTTCAATCAGGTCGATGGCTCCAGACAAAATTCCATTCCCAGTCGAAATATTGGCTCTAGTCGAGATGTCAATCTTATTCAAATCGACGGTTCCAGACAGGATCCTGGCTCCAGTTAAAATACTGGTTCTTCCATACAGAATCCCAAACAGGATGCCAGTCCCGGAAGAGATGACGTTTCCTGGCCGGATGCAATTGTTAATCAAGATATCTATACATTCACTAAAACATAATTAATCAAACTACTTTTGTATTTCACTTCACATTTAATGTAACACTCACATTTGAGATCTACACACAGTAGGCGTCAACAAATTCACACAAAATTAATCAAACTACTTTTGTATTTCACTTCACATTTAATGTAACACTCACATTTGAGATCTACACACAGTAGGCGTCAACAAATTCACACAAAATTAATCAAACTACTTTTGTATGTCACTTCACATTTAATGTAACACTCACATTTGAGACCTACACACAGTAGGCGTCAACAAATTTACTATATTATACAGTAGTATAGCAGTAAATAAATAAATATAGTCAGTCAGTCTACGGCACAGCCTCGAGCAGACGTGACTATTCAACAAAAAAAAAAAAAAAAAAAAATGATGCCAATTCTGGTGCTAGTGCTAATGCTAGTGCTGGTGCCATTTCCATTGCCAGTGCCACTTCCAGTTCCAGTGCCAGTGCCAGTGCCAAAGATGATGCTGGAAATAAGAGCAAGAGTCCAATTAGAATGGCAACTGCAATTGCAGTTGCTGATTCTGCAACAGATGCCATCAATTCCACTCAGCTGTACTCCTCCTCCTTGGATGTTGTCACTCATCATGCCAGATTGCCGGTGTTTCGGCGACTGGCTGTCACCGCCTTTGATGCTCGTCCCCCTCCACCGGATGAGCTGCCATCTGATGAATAGCCTGTTCAAAAATTGGACAAAAAACACTTGTTTATATTCAACACACATACACTCACTAACAATATTAATATTAGTATTATTAGTCTTTATTAGTAATATTTAGTATTTTTATTATTTAATTGTTAATCTCTATCTATCTAGTTTTAATAATGTTATTCAAATTCACTTAGCTTGTAATCACACAATTTCTCATACAACGCCATTTCAATATCGATAAGTTTCACCCACTCACTCACTCACACACATACACACACATACTTAGTTCTTAGCAGTTTGCATCCATGTTAAGATTCGAATAAGATGTGGCAGCCCTGCGTGGCTGTTTAACATCACAGCAAGCCAATTGAGCTCAATTATGCAAAAGAATCGATAATTGATAATCGATAGCATAGTTGAGCGCCAATTTATTCCAAATTCAAATACTCGGTATATATTAGGGATACACATTGCTGATGCAAATTGACTGTTGCAGCGTCAGTCCTTTTTTCAGCCATCTGCCGGCTGTTGCATCATCTAACTCACTCTCTCTTTTCCATAGAGGGAGCTTGTTATTTGATGCAACTGGAAGCTGGAATTGGCTGAATTTAGGGAATGATAGTTCTTTGAAAGTTCTATGGTGGAGGCGCTGGGCAGTCTTGCTCCGAGAATAGTCTGCAGATGAGCGGCTTGAAGGCGACACGCGACACGCGATCCGCGATCCGATCAGTGGCGGCCGACGGCAGACGCCCACCTCTGGATGTCCAAGAATCTAGATTGGCTAGACAGAGAGTAGACAGTAGACAAAATAGCAATCAATAAAATAATCAAAATTAACAAAAATACGAGTGTGTTTTTTCTAATTTGTGAATATTGTTTCGAATTACTGTGGACTACTGAATAGTGAATAGTGACTGAGATAGAGACTCCATAAATTCTAAACAACTAGTGGTGTGTGCACTAGTGTGTGCGTTTCCCAATTGAGGATCTAGTGCCGACAGAGTGTGTGCTGCTACCATCTGAAAACTGGCCATTGCCGCCATGTACAACATGCTCTCGGGCAGTCTCGGCGACGATGCCGAGACTAGTGGCGATGAGTTTCTGTTGGATGTGGATGATGATGACCATGTGGACGACGATGGAGGAGAGGACGACGATGTCGATATTGACGACTCACTGGATGAGTGCCTGCTGGCTGCTGGAATTGGCTCTCTTGATGCAGATGAGCCAAATCAGGTTGGTGGTAATGGTGCTAATGGTGGAGAGGTCAAAGATAGTGAGAGTGCTGCTGTTGTGCTGACGCGTGCCATGAGCGCCATGTTGGCACAGGAGCGCCAGATGAAGCTGCACAAAGAGCTGCAGCTGCAATTTAATTCAAATTCTAATTCAAATATAAATTCCAATTCCAATTTGAGTCCCATTTCAAACTCAAATTCAGATTCTAAATCGAATTCCAATTCAAATTCAATTAAAAGGCCGGCAAATAAGGGCAATAGCCCAAAATCCAAGTCAAACAAGAAAATGGCGCCGAAAAAGGACGCCAACTTCAATAGGAGAAACTTTCAGTTGCGATCGGAGGCTGATTGCTCTACAAATAGAAACATCTTCACCAACTATGATGATGATGATGATGATGATGATGCTGATGATATTGACGACGATGATCTTTTGAAAGCTCTTCAGAGTTGTGAGCAATTGCCAGATGGCTGTGGCGGCAGTCCTACGCCATCTAGCAGAAATATGGCTACTAAAGCTTTAGCCAAGACTCCCACTAAATCTAAATCGAACATATCGGCAAATGCCAATGTCAATTCTTCAGATGCAGCTGCAGCTGATGAGATAAGTAATCGTCAATTTATTTCTGGTTCCGATGAGTTCAACAAATCGGACGTAAATGAAATGCTAAACCATCTGTTTAGCGGGTGTGAGGCAAATAAATCTATTCAGCCACCACCACCATTGTCTGCATCGGCAATGGAGACATGCCGCCGAATGGCAACGAGTTGTGCGCCAGCCAATCGAAAGCTGTCGGCATTAATGTTTCAAAAGAAATTGGTTGCTGCATCCGATGATGATATCGATGCAATTGAGATTGCCGATTTAGATGATGCACCAACCACGTCGAAAAAGGCAGCCGCTACTGCGGCCGCTCGCAAATTAGCAGCCAAAGCTGCAAATGGCAAATCTTTAGCTGGCCATCGATCAACAGATGGCGCTAATATTAATAATAAAAATTCAAATCAAAATCAAATGAATAACATTGAGATGGTTACTGATGATGACGATGTTGCTGTTGAAAATGACGCTGATGACGTCAATGTCAACGAAAATGCAACTACAAATGCAAATGCAAATGCAAATGCAAATGGCAATTTGGATGGGCGAAAGATTCGGCCCACACCATTATATTTGCCATTTGTGCCAAACATAATGCCTGTTCTGGAGGGCATAAATAGGGCAATTGGTGCCAGCAATTATTACACCAAGCCGACAGCTGGCCAAGGTTTGCGTATTCAATGCGCAAACATTGCTGCCTACCGCAAACTGGTGCATCACTTCACCCAAGAGAACATCGTTTGTCACACATACCAATTGGCATCGGAACGGGGATTTCGTTTTCTAATACGCTACCTACATAGATCGACGCCAACTGACTGGATACGGCAACAGCTTATGGAACTTGGCTATCAAGTGCGTTTCGTAAGCGTCATCAAGAAGCGATTCACTCGCGAACCTATGGACCTCTTCGAGGTGGAAGTGGTGGCCGAGCCGAATAGCGCAAATGTGCTAAACATTGTGTGCTTGGGCGGCCAGAGGGTGAAATGCGAGAGGACATTGCGCAATATTGATGCTGTGCAATGCCATCGTTGCCAACAATTCGGACACACAAAGAATTATTGTCGCCGTCCGTTTGTTTGTGTGAAATGCAGTGGCAGCCATCCATCCACGGGCTGTGAGCGAACTAAGGGCGATGACAGCCAGCCAGCTAAATGTGCCAACTGTAATGGCGATCATGCCGCTAGCTATCGCGGCTGTAAGGCATACAAGGAGGCATGCAAACTAAAACAACTGAATCAGCAAGGCTTCCAGCAAGCCACCAAATTGGTTGCCGAACTGGCACGAAAATCCAACTTGAACTTGAATTCAAATTCAAATCTTCATTTGAATGGCAAAAGCAGCAGCAGTAGTAATAATAATAATGCTTCGACAGTGGCAATTATAAAACGCCATTTAAATCAATTAAATTCTCTTAAAAAACAGCAGCAGCAGCAGCAGCGTCCACTACAGCAGCAGCAGCGTCCACTACAGCAGCAGCAGCGTCCACTACAGCAGCAGCAGCGTCCACTACAGCAGCAGCAGCGTCCACTACAGCAGCAGCAGCAGCAGCAGCGTCCAGTACAGCAGCAGCAGCAGCAGCAGCAGCGTCCACTACATCAGCAGCAGCTAAATCAAATCAAGGCCAAAAAGCAGCCCAAACTACAACAGCAGCCCAAGCAGCAGCAGCAGCAACTAAATCAACAAAATCAGCAACTCAAACAGCAGCTCAAGCAACAGCTTCAGCAACAGCTCCAGCAGCAGCTCCAGCAGCAGCAGCAGCAGCAGCAGTTGTCTAAGCGGCGACAGCATTCATCAAATGGCAAAGGTTTAGTTGGCAGCTATGCAGATGTACTAAAATTTGGCCAAATTCAAATTCATAAACAGAATCCTCAACAACAACAACAACAACGACAGCTTCAACCTCAAGGTAATCTACAGCTGCAACTACTTAAACATCAACAGATGCAACAACAAGAGATGCAACTACAGATGCAACATCAACAACGCCACTTGTATCATCAGTATCAAGGTGCTGATACTGCATTGAGCAATCCTACTGGTGGTGTCAACAATTTGAACAATATTGAAAATAAACTGGATCAGCTAATTAACCTCATGCTGCTTGAGCAAAAGCAAAAGCATAAGTACTCTAAGGTAAATTCAAATCCTGTCACTAACAATAACAATAACAATAACAATGCCATTGCAATAAAACTGGATAGACTAATTGAAATGATGTCTACATTTACTAATTGCCTGATTGCTGCTAGGCAAAATTCCACCAATGAAGCTACAAAATGATTTCCTCTTCATATCATATCAATCATATCACTCCCAATTTAATTCAAACAATTTGGAGTAGATATTCAGCTAATATTAATACTCACCCAGCAATCCATACATCAAGCGCTCTCATTATGGGGATGATGATGAGAAGTAGGCAGCGGCGGCAGCGGCGGCGGATGTGGTTGTGGATGATGATGAAAATATATAAATGTTCATTAGCTTTCATTGATAAAAAGTTTCGTTGGTTTGCATACATCAATGAAATACGTACTGAGAGATCACGTTGCTCGACGATTGTATTTGTTTTGATTGCTCTTGCCATTGTTGTTATTGTTTGTGTCCAGTGTGGTAGTGCTACTGGGCTGCAAAATACAAATGGGAAGCAACATCAATGCCTTGACTCCATTCTGATGTATGTGATCAAGAAGTGGTATACTACTATTACCAAATTAATTATACTCGCTTTGCACCGCCTGCAACGTGTCAAAGATGATGACCGGCAGGCTGCCTTGTTGTGTGCAAGCAATCGATTCTTCGCTGTGATGATTATGATGATGAGGATGGTCGTCTTTCCGGGCATCTGGGTATGCAGCTCATGTATGAATGTGGGCTGCATTCGTCGATTGCAATATCCTCCAACAGCTTTCACTGGAACTAATCATAACAATTGGTTATCACTCTTTGCTAATTGTAATTGTAATTTTAATCAATTCATATCTAGATATACTCACCATATTAAACAGATCAAACTGATGTCGGCCAGGCTCATATGCTTGCCTGCCATTATTGCCATTGTGTCCGCTATTGTGCTCGTGCCAGAGCCAACGATGATGTTCCCAATGCCAGATGCCAGTGTCAATTGCTGTCCCAATTCCAATGTCGTCGCCAGTGTTGATCCAGACTCGATTGCAGATGAATCAAATGTCTCCAATGCTGTGTCCCACACTGCTAACAATTTGTGTGCTGGTGGTGCCATTTTGATTGACGGTGTCAACGCCATTGCCAACACCGCTGATGCCAACGATGACAACGATGATGACAACATCAACAACAATGACGACGACAATGATGTCCATGCAGTTGCTTATGCGGCTGCAGCCATTGCATGTGCTGGCCGATTGGGTGCCAGTGCTGATGGCATTGCTGGTGCCACTGTCAGCTTTAGTGCCAGTCAATATACTGGCATTGGTGCGAGACCATCTGATGTCCATGCCGATGCCGATGCCGATTCTGATGATGATGCCAATTCTGGTGCTAGTGCTAATGCTAGTGCTGGTGCCATTTCCATTGCCAGTGCCACTTCCAGTTCCAGTGCCAGTGCCAGTGCCAAAGATGATGCTGGAAATAAGAGCAAGAGTCCAATTAGAATGGCAACTGCAATTGCAGTTGCTGATTCTGCAACAGATGCCATCAATTCCACTCAGCTGTACTCCTCCTCCTTGGATGTTGTCACTCATCATGCCAGATTGCCGGTGTTTCGGCGACTGGCTGTCACCGCCTTTGATGCTCGTCCCCCTCCACCGGATGAGCTGCCATCTGATGAATAGCCTGTTCAAAAATTGGACAAAAAAAACTTGTTGTTCGAATAAGATGTGGCAGCCCTGCGTGGCTGTTTAACATCACAGCAAGCCAATTGAGCTCAATTATGCAAAAGAATCGATAATTGATAATCGATAGCATAGTTGAGCGCCAATTTATTCCAAATTCAAATACTCGGTATATATTAGGGATACACATTGCTGATGCAAATTGACTGTTGCAGCGTCAGTCCTTTTTTCAGCCATCTGCCGGCTGTTGCATCATCTAACTCACTCTCTCTTTTCCATAGAGGGAGCTTGTTATTTGATGCAACTGGAAGCTGGAATTGGCTGAATTTAGGGAATGATAGTTCTTTGAAAGTTCTATGGTGGAGGCGCTGGGCAGTCTTGCTCCGAGAATAGTCTGCAGATGAGCGGCTTGAAGGCGACACGCGACACGCGATCCGCGATCCGATCAGTGGCGGCCGACGGCAGACGCCCACCTCTGGATGTCCAAGAATCTAGATTGGCTAGACAGAGAGTAGACAGTAATGCTCTGCAACAGGCTGTCGAATCGCATACGCAAAGAGCTCATATATGCTAGGCAGAAGTATGAGGAAGAGCTATTTAGATCTATCGATCCAACTGATAGATATAGTATGCAGAAGCTCTGGCGACTGACCAACGAGATCAAGCGACAGCCTGCTCCAAATCTACCGCTGTTGAAGTCCTCTAGTGACAATGGCTCCAATGCTCAAAATGTCTGGTGCAAGACAACTGCCGAGAAGGCCGAAACATTTGCTGCAAGTCTCGAGCAGCGTTTTCAACCAATCGTGACTACGCCACCCAGTGTTCTGGCTGAAATCGAGGCTCAAGTTAGCCAGCCATCTTTGACTGCTTCAGTCTCATTTCGGCCAGTCACTGCGGCTGAAGTCATCAGTCACATCAGCACGCTAGAGAACAAAAAAGCTGCTGGATTGGATCAAATTGATAATCACACTATTAAAGCGCTGCCATTGAAGGCCGTGTTGTATCTTGTGCTCATTTGCAACAACTCACTACGACTGAGTCATTTCCCCTCGAGCTGGAAGCTAGCTGTGGTGAAGATGGTGCATAAGCCTGGCAAGCCTACGCACCATGTTGCATCATACAGGCCAATAAGTCTGCTGTCTGGCCTCTCTAAGATACTTGAGTATCTGATTTTGAGCCGTATGCTGGAGCAAGATACTCTTGTAAATGCGATTCCAAATCATCAATTTGGATTCCGCAAGGCGCATTCAGCTGAGCAGCAATTGGGTCGCGTTACTCAATTTATTATTAAAGCGTTTGATGACCGCAAATACTGCTCTGCTGTCTATATGGATATCAAGGAAGCCTTTGATCGAGTGTGGCATACAGGCTTGAAATATAAGCTCAAGATGCTATTGCCGGATGCTCTCTACCGCATCCTCTGCTGCTATTTAGTTGATCGGACGTTTATTGTTGAGTGTCACGGTGGCTGTCGCTCAGGTATTAAGCAAATTCACGCTGGTGTGCCTCAAGGTAGCTTGCTCGGGCCTATCTTGTATAATATATACACCAGCGACATACCAAGGCCAACTCGCCTACGTGGGATATTGATTGCCACTTATGCTGACGACGTCATCGTTCTTTCGGCTGACTCTCGACAAGCAGTCGCGCTCAGTCAGCAGCAGGCGTATATGGATAGTTTGGCTGAATGGGCGAGCAAGTGGTGCATTACAATTAATGCAAACAAGACTATGCATATCATGCATACGCTTCGAGTTATAGCGCCATATCAGGCTATTCGCATTGGCAACGAAACTATCGAAAATGGCACTTCTCATTCATATTTGGGTGTTACTCTAGATACGAAACTGCGCTTCTCACAACATGTCACTACGGTCGTTACTAGGGTTAGGGCTAGGCTTAAAAAGATAGATTGGCTCATTAACAAAGACAGCAAATTGACTCTAAGAACTAAAGTCATTATTTACAAGCAGCTAGTTGCCCCATTATGGCAATACTCGCTACCTGTATGGGGCGCTCTGCTATCTGAGACCCAATTCAACCGCATTAGAGTTGTTCACAATAAAGCTCTGAGAGCCATTTCTGGTGCTCAGTACTTTATTTCGAACACTCGCATCAGAGCTGATTTGGAAGTTTTATCTGCGGATGATATAATCTCTGCGCCAAATACTATGATCGACTCCGTGTCCATCCCAACAACTTGGCCAAAAACATTGTCTACGACCCGTTCATCCCACAGCGGATAACATTGGCAAGATACGCGAGTCTCGCAAACATGCATTTGGCCAATGACATAGCTTTGCGCACTCAGCGACAACTGCAAAGAGAAGCTGACGAAATAGCTGAAAGCAGAGAGAGATACCTTCGCCGACGGGAGGCTCAGCAACACAACGAAGCTGCACAAGCAGCAGCCCACCAGCCGCAACGACTACCTGTCTTCGAGGGTATTGCGCCAATGCCGCGGCCACTACCACCACCATCACCACTTGCTGCCTATAGGGTGCTATTTAGATCACATAGGGATCAGAGTTAAGTAATTACACTATTTAAACACTCAGTTACAATTACAAAATTTTATTTTCGGCACATATATATATATATGTGCAGCGAACATATCTGACGGCACTTGCGCCTAAGATGCACATTTTGAATTAACTAAAAACTAACTTAAATATCCGCCCTATTGGCTGTGCAGCCCACTTGGCTAAATCTCCTTGCCGCAGTTGATGTGCTCTGCAAAGAAAAAATCAACATTAATAATCTTTTAATGTTTTTATTAACTTCTGCAAAATTAACTTACCTGCTAGTCAGCTTGCAATTAATGCAGTTCTGCTATCTCGGTTTTGCGCCCCTCTGCACTTTATATGGCAGCAGCTGTATACATAAAAAGATAATAATTAATTAGTATTAATTATTAATATCATTAACTTCACTTTTATAATCCATAATTGTTAACTTTTATTCACTTTTGCAAAACTCACTTACCTGCTAGTCAGCTTGCAGTTAATGCAATTTCGCTATCTTCAATATCTGCGCTCCTCTGCATTTCGTATAATAGCAGCTATATATATGAAAAGACAGTAATTAATTAATATTAATTATTAATATCATTAATTTCACTTATTTATCTATTAATTTTTACACTTACCAATTGGCAGCATAAAATTTGCATGTAATGCAATTCCCAATCAGCTGTTTTTTGTTTTTGTTTTGATTATGCACTCCGATAGGCACAATGCCAGGGGTGCATCGTCACTTACTCAGTTACTCTTGCGATATATCGAATGAATATTAATGAAATCAAAACTGCCAAAATGAATTGTTAAACTATTTTTATTTAATTATCTATATTAATTATCATAAACATTTTGTAATTTAAGTTAAATTTAGCTTAAGCCCATGTTGGAGAAAATGACCAGACTTTGTCTCGACTTTTCTCTATTATTCCAATTGGCCACTTTGGGCTATTTTCTCTGTGCATCTTGTAGATGCTTTTTTAATGAAAAAACTGAATTATATTAATTAATGCCATCTATTACTATTGTTAAACTTATATATTACTTATCTATTTAGTCGTTTATTAGTTACTCAAGCACTTTATTGTTATTTTGAATTATCTTTAATTTGCTCTTTTTATTAGTATTTTGTAACATTAAGCTGCACTGTTATTTTTATGCACTTATGGCCATTTAAATTTAATCATTTAATGAAAAGTTTCGACAAATATAGTCCTTTTTAGATTTTAATTATATCTTAGGCGCTATTTATATTTATAAAAAAATGCTATTGTGAAGTATTAAATAAATAAAGAGTATCCCCGTACTCTTCCCCTCATCATGCAGCTGCAGGTCAGCTGTTCATGTACGAGAATGGGAAGAGGCGGAGATCACTAATGTGTGTTCTTTGTAGACATACGAACAGAAAAAAGCCCCGACCACATCTAAGAAAGCTGCCGCCATGGCAGCTGCGCGCAAATTGGTTGCTGCAAATCCTAACAAAGCTGCAACTGATCAGCGGCCAACAGATGGAGCCAATAATACAAACATCAACAGCAAGAGCAACAACAAGTGTCAATTGTCAATTGATGATGATGATGTTGATGCAAATGCTGTTAATGATATTGAAATGGATGAAGATCTCAATGACGATGACGATGACGATGAGGTGGATGAGGATGAGGTCATCGATGACAATGACAATGCCAATACGAATGCCAATGGCAATGTGAATGTGAATGGTGGTCGCAAGAATCGGCCAACACCATTGTACTTGCCGTTTGTGCCAGACATAATGCCAGTACTGGAGGGGATTAAGAAGGCGATCGGTACGGCAAATTTCTACACCAAACCGACAGCTGGGCAAGGTCTGCGCATTCAATGCGCCAATATTGCGGCATATCGCAAACTTGTGCATCACTTCGCTCAGGAGAGAATTGTATCGCACACCTATCAATTGGCAGCGGA